AAGTTTTTTGTTTATTTATTTTTAAATTTGTATCTTTATTTTTCTAAAACACCTCATACCCCTGCAAAAAACAGAAATTCATTTCTAAAAAATACAGGTGAACTCAGGGACCATATATCTGATGATAAAAAATGACAAAAAAAAAATCCAACTTTTCTTTATATATATATATATTTTTAATGTTTTTAAAATCGAATTTAGTTTTTTATATTTTAAAAATCTGAAACAAAGTCGGATTCCAAAAAACAAAATATGGGGTTGTATGGTTTAAAATTCCCTACAACCCCATATATATCGTCACATATATATATTTTTAACCTATTATTTAATTCAGGAAAATTCTGGTAAAATCGGGTCCGCGGTGCGGACCAGGTAGGCCACGGATGCGGACCCGTCTGCGTCCGCCATCCGAGATTGGACCCGCGGACGCGTCCGCGGGTGTTACATAGCCTACCAAGTCTGCCCAAATTGCAAGTTAGTCCCCCCAAGAACTTTCTTTTCCCTTGGCCAGATCAAAGGTTGGTCCTACTCCTTAAAAACCACCAGTACTTCCAAGGCACTTTTATCCGGTGCTGGGAATGCACCCAAAAAGAGACAAACTGGCGGGGGCCTCCTTTTGTCTGGCCCTGTCAGGCAGTTTGCTCCGGAGGCCAAGCCCCAAAAGTTGCGGCGCGTTAACGCCCCGAACTGGAAACAAATAGCATGGCCAAGTACTGGTGGTTTAAAGTTCCTAGTCTTGCGCCCCCTCATATTCTCTCCACACCATGGCCTCTGAAATAAAAGACTCACTTTTTTTATCCTTTGTCCGTCCAATTCTGCCCAAGACCTTTCCTTCGTCTTGGCAAGATCAAATGCTGGTCCTACCGTCTTTGCCGGAATAGAACGCCCGGTCAATATAGCCGTATTTGGGGCAACTTTCAGTCCAGATGCAGCCATTACGACTGCGGCGTTCTATTCGGGTGAAGACCATAGCCCCTCAAAGTTCCCATTTTTGCTCCCTTCCATTCTCTCCGTACAAAAGACTCAGTTTTTTGTTCCTAGCGTGCCCAAACTCCAAACTAAAGAGCGCCTGACCTGCAATTTAGTCTGCCTAAGACCGACCTTCCCTTTCCCTTCACCAGATCAAATGTTTGTCCTACCCTTCAAAGTTCCCAGTTTTGCAATAGGCTTCCTCCTCGGTCCCCTCCTCGCCATAAAAGACGCGCACCTTTATGTCCCTAGTTAGTTCGAATTACGAGTTTGTCTGCCCAAGACTTTATCTTTCCCTTTGCCGGACCCAATCTTGACCCACTGCCTGCAACTGGCGCAGCCCCACTGCCCGCAACCGGTGTCCAGTCAGGTCGCCCTGCCACGATGGGCGGTAGACACTGAGGTAGGACTGGGGGGAGTGGGGGTGTGCTGGGGAGAACCGATGAGAGGGTGGGTTCGGCCGCATAGAGGTAAGATCGTAAGACTAATAAGCAAACAAAAAGAAAAGAAAAAGAAAGCAATACGGTGAACGACAAATCTCAGGATCAGACTTCTCACTGCATCACCATTGCATATGTCACAGGTCGTCTCCGTCAGAGACTCCTGTTGTTATAGATATACCTTCTTTACACGAACGGATCATTCAATCATTATTGCTCCATCTAGACTGGCGGTTGCCCCAATTTCAGCTGTAACTATTTGTGGGAAGACGGTCGGGCTGAGTACTTGCCAAACTGTGGATGAGAGATTTCCTTGCGCGAGGTTTCCATTATAAACCATCTCGGCGCTGGAGGCCTTCCGTGAAAAAAAAAAAAAAAAACTGTGGATTGTTTAACAAGTGAAAATTGCCCGCAGGCTCAACCAGTCAGCCCACCACTACGCAATGCAGTCCACAGTACCCTCAACTCCACGACGGTTGGCTTATGCCGGTGGGGTTCAAAAAATGAGCTTCAGGCAAGTATAGGTTAGAGCATGGTGGTGGTTCAAACTTCAAACCACCCATTCCTCCCGGTGCAATGTTACTGAACCGGCACGCGGCACACGGCACGCGGCACACGGCACATGGCACACGGCACAATTTTCCGAGCCTGGAACACTGGGGCCCCAAAGAGCTTTGGCCCCACCAATAGCAGCAGGGGGCCAAAGTAATACAAAATTTAGCCGCCATAATTTCTTTTGCAAATTTGCAGTCAATTTCTTCTTTTTCCCGTCTGATATTTTCCCCAATAGATCAGCACTCCACCTATGCCCCCTATTTATTTCTTCAGACATTTTCTGAATTTTTTGCCGATACGCTGCTGCCGCCCCGCCCCCGCAGGCATCCGGTCGGCTGTCCCGACTGCGGCCAGGATGTAGACTGCTGCAACCTTTGGATTCTGATGGGGGGACTGATGGTGGTATGACGGCCCAGGCTGGGCAGCCTGGGTCGGTTATTTTTCCCTTCTGGTTTGAACTACCAGTAGCGACGGACGACGGACTTATTTTGTCAAACCAAAAGAGAAAAACAACGGACCCAGGCTGCCCAGCCTGGAACGTCACACTTACCAGGTCACACTGCGATTTTGATCGACATATGCATTCGGTTTGAAGCGAATATTTTTTTCGGAGGATGAAGCTTTTTTTTTTTTTTTTCTGTCTTTGTTTTAAACCACCAGTACCTCCGAGCCTGTTTTTGCCAACCCTGATTTTCACTGCGCTCCGAGTTTTGCCGAGCCTGGGTCCCACTCCATTTCTTTATGGTACTCTCATGGGAAGAACAAAAAAAAACAAAACAAAAAAAAAACTTGCGGCCGTGAAAACTCACAAAACAAAAAAATGAAACAAAGCTCTGGGCGTGATTGCAGCTGTATACATTATCGGAAGTGTAAGTGTGAGTGTGCCTTCAGTGAGGGCACCTCAGCCCCGTGGCCAGGTTGTCAGATTTCAGAAACTCAAAAAATAAAATAAAAGACAGAAACATGGATTCGGCCGTGAAAATGGCAAGATACATTCCTGTAAGTGCCAGTGTGATCAGGGTTACAATCCTCTGAGGGAACACAGCTCGAGCAGATCACGGATTCAGATTGTCAGAGTCCAGAAAATGAAAACAAGAAGAAAAAAAAACGAAAACATGGATTCGGCCTTGAAAACGGCTGGGTACATCAGTGTTACAATCATCTGAGGAAACAATACTACAGCAGATCACGGATTCCGCCCTGCCTCGTTGGCAGGGTACTCATAACAAACAAATACAAAAGAAAAAAAGAAAACAACAAGTTTGAGAACGTGACCGTCTTTGCTGTAAGATGCATGCAAGACTGTGAGCACGGTCTCCTAGACATCCCTGCCCGACATCATTGCAGTACAAAGGCCCGTTTTTTTTCCTTTCCCTTTCGTGCACGGGCAAAAAAAAAAATACGACTTTTGGGACATTGCCGACCCTCTGTCCGACCCTCGAAAACTTCGGGTACTGGCCAGCATCTCGTATTTTCCCAACACTGGGGAAGGTACTGGTGGTGAAATCGAGATCTTTATCGCAGGCTCAGTGCCCAAGGCTTTTGTTCACTTTTCAGTTTGATTTTCCCTGATGTTGCGAAACCCTCCTGCATCACTGATTCTTTTTCGGGAATTTTTCGCTGCCAGAAAAGAGGATTAGAAATCTCCACAGTTGGGGTGCACACAATTTTCTGCACTCCAGCGGTACCCCTCCTTGAATCCGGTAGGCCGAGCCTTTCATTTTGGGGCATGCATATGGCCGCGAGTTTCCTCGGAGAGGATCGGTACAGGTGGTTTAATAGCCTGGTCGTCTTGCAGCGACTGCAGTCCATACTTTTTTTTTTTTTCCGTCAGTCTGTTGGGGTGCTCAATTCGTTTGTTTGTTTGTTTTAACGGGGTAGGTCCTATTGTCATTGTTTTTTCCCAACAAAGAGTTAAACTCTTGATCTATTCATGAACAATTACACGTGTACCATTCACATGCGAAGGAAATACAGGGGTCTTGGATTTCGGGATGCTGATGTTCTGCAAGTAGTCAGCAACTGCAACGACAGTGAAAACTTTCCAAAAGAACTTTAAAAAGGTTTTAAAAAAAACAAGCAGTTTCATTGAAATTTGAAACCCATTTTCTTTTTTTCATCATTGCGCTCTTACCTCTGTCACCTCCTCCCCAACATCGTCTTCAGGCGTGCGCTCCTCAAATGATGGCAGGTCCTGCGCAGGGGGACACAAGTCAGAAGGACAGTACAGGCAGGGACAGCCATGCAGCATCATCTTCAGGCGTGCGCAGGGACAGATGCAAGTCAGAAGGACAGTACATAGCAGGGACAGCCATGCAACATTGTCTTCAGGCATGCGCAGGGACAGAGTGGAAGAAAAGGACAAAAGTCAGAAGGGCAGTACAGAGCAGGGACAGCCATGCAACATCGTCTTCTGGTGTGCGCAGGGACAGAGTGGAAGAAAAGGAGACAAGTCAGAAGGACAACATAGAGCAGGGACAGCCATGCAAGGTCATCGTCAGGCGTGCGCAGGGACAAGTGGAAGAAAAGGACACAAGTCAGAAGGACACTACAGAGAGAATTGAGACATCATGCTGCTCACATGCCCGAGTTGGAGAGCTCACACTCGCACGGATGTCTTCTTGATCATTCCATAGGGCCTACCTCCGCTCCGCTACTGAACATTTGACATGTACCTGCTCTGAAAGATGGAGCAGATACATTTAGGCCAATCCGAAATTTCCAATGTATTGGACCACCAGCAGGCCAAGCTTTGCCGAAACGCCAGCATGGCGCTTTTTCTTCTTTTGGCTGGTGCCGCCGTCCATCTTGGTTCTGTAGCCCTGCTGAGTCTCTACAATTTTCAAATTGGCTCAATTTCGATTCTCAAGTTTACCTGGGCGATGTACTGCCAGTATAAACCATCACTTCATCCAAGCCTGACCTGAAGAGTGGAACAAGGCCTGGTATTAGGGCCGGTACCGTACCAGTTTGTGGCAGTCCAAGAGAGGAAAACCCGGGCCTGTTGGGAAAAAGGGGCCCCTCATTTTAATCTATATTGGTGCCCCAAAACGATCGGCTGCACTGCACTGCACTGCACTGCAGACTGACTTGCTGTGAATGCCAGTAGCGCGTGCAACGCAAGTCAGCCATGCTCTTGTTTGTGCTAAGCTCGCACGAACCCATCCAGTTTCACGACCAGATTCATGGTGAAGTCCATGCACAGGCCTCCTACCTTCTTCCTCACCCTCATACGGTATACCCATTGGCACATGCATCCGCATAACATCGTAAGAAGCACCTAGTGTGCATAAACCTACCCAGTTCTGTCACATGAATCTAGTTTCATGACCAGATTCATGGTGAAGCAGCTCCATGTAATTGCCGGCAAGGAACCTCTGCACATCTCCAGAGAGAAAATGATATCCTCGCAAAGGCCGAGTTGACGAGTCCGCCATCTCCACGTCCATAGAGAAAATAATAGCAAAGATTGAGTAGATGAGTCCGTGATCTCCACCCATGCATTCGCTACAGCTGTCGGCACATGCGTCAGCGTAACCGGAAAAAGCGCACCGAGAGCGCATGAACCTATGACGCCATGCCAGCCCTTTTATAATCTTTTTTAACTACCCGTACATCCGAGCCTCTTTTTTTACTAGGCGGATTCCCACTGTGCGCCAAGCTTTGCCGGAACGTCAGCACAGTGTTTTTGTTTTAGTTTTGGCTGGCGCCGCCAGCCATTTGGGCCCAGTTGGCCCGAGCCTCCGATTATTTTCGAGAGGCTCAATTTTGGTTCTGAACTTGGCCGGGGCCATGTACTGCTGGTTTAAAGAACCTTTTATGCCGCCACTACCACAAGCCTATTTTTGCCAAGGCGGCGGCAGAGCAGAACTGCGCGCCAAGCTATGCAGAAGCCCCGGCGCAACCTTTTTTCTTTCGTTTTGGCTGACACCGCCAACCATTTTGGTCTGGTGGCACCTGGCCTCCAAAGCATGCGGTATACATTATATTTATGACTTAGCCTATGCCTCTGAAAGGTAGTGGTGGCCTACAATAAACACCTCTGATACCATTCTTGCGTTGCGCGCAATCCACACGCTGTGTGGGAGCGCCCCCCCCCTTCAGCATGCAGTTCTATAAAAAAGGCTCTGAAAGGTAGTGGTGGTCTACAATAAACACCTCTGTTACCCTTCTTACGTTGCGCGCAATCCACACGCCGTGTGGGAGACCCCCCCCCCCCCCCCCCCTCTTCTTCCACACGCAGTTCTGTAAAATCAACTCAAAGCTTGCACTTGGGCGACGGCCTTGAGATATCATTGTTGAGCCGACCAGCCCCAGGTAATTCAGAATTATTTTGGTCTCCTCATCAGACTGCATCTGGATTTGAACTTGGGGGAAGTAAAACACACACAAGAAATGGACGAAGAGGTCTAACGTTGCAGAGTGATTTGCTCTTCGCTGTCCATCCAGACCAGATAATGATTGCAAGACAGGAATGAATATAACACAAAGGAGAGAGAGAACTCGCATAGAGCAGCATGAAACCGGGATCATTATTCTGTGCATTTCTTTCCTTCAAAAAAAAAAAAAAAAAAGGGCAGGGAACCAGGATGAGTAGGCAGCAAAGAGATTTGAGCAACAAAATGGGAGAACGAGGAAGTAGAGGTGGGGAGCGGGTAAGGAGGACGGCGGGGGGGGCCGGAGGAGAGGATGAGGAGGCAGGTCAGCAGAAGGATGAGCAAGAAGTAAGGTGGAGAGAGATTTGCACGCTTTCATGGTGCAAGAACGAAGAACGACGCGTGATCAGGATGAGAGAGAGAGAGAGAGAGAGAGAGAGAGAGAGAGAGAG